CGACTATATTCTTCATTTTATATGAAATATGTGATAATTTGTAAAAAAAGGATAAAAAATGCGTCAGGTACCAGATATGGTCAACGGAAGTCTTCCATTTTCATACCATAAAATTACAAGAAAATCAAAAATTTATATCCAATTTAATGCCAAATCATAAATTCCATAATCATCCCAGGTTTCTGGTCGAGGGAAATATCTAGATACCTGTTTCGCAAGTTATGACAGATAAAAGTATTGAAAATTTTGACCCTTTAAAGGTGAGATACCAGAAGGGGTTCGCAGATATATACAGGGTAAGATGACAAAACTGCAACCAACTTCAGACTGCTGCCATATCTAAACCACTAGTCTGACAGCTGTTTAAGTTATTGTAGTGACAGTTCATTATATTGTTTACAAGCGTACAAAAGCATTTTGATGAGAATTTTCCAGAAAAAAAGTTATTCGTGGTGGAATTCAAGCGTGATAGTGTGATTTCTTTATATTTGGCTGGAAAACCACAAGTGACTATCGTTAGAGCACTCCAGCATTTAAATGTGGATAAATCTTTTGTGTCTCGTACCATCGCTCGTTGCCGTGATACTGGTAGCGTAGCGCAACGTCAAGGAAGTGGACGGAAGAAAACAGCAACATCAGCAGAAATGGAGCGAATGTAATTAAAGCCTTGGGCACGCAAGCATTTTGGCCGCAGACCTTGAAAAATTCCATAGGACTCAGCACCATCGCACTCAGCACGCGCCAACCTAGAATGGTTACATAATGAGGTTCCTCGCTTCATTTCCAGCGCACAATGGGCACCAAAATCACCGGATACCAATCCGTTGGACTATTGTGTCTGGAGTATTTTGGAAAGCAAGGTTGGCACTTAAAAATACCAAAGTGTCGATCACCTCAAGCAAGCACTTCGCCGGGAATGGATCAAAATGCCGCAGGGCAACATTCGGGCAGCGTGTGACGGTGTTTGAAGTGCCAAAGGTGACCAATTCGAACAAATCTTAACTTATTCTAAAATTTGATGCTATTTCCGACATTTTTAGCTTTAATTCAATAAAATAAAAAAAGTAAAAATTATGGCGTTTGACTTTGTTGCAGTTTTTATAGCATACACCATAGTATTGAGGATATATTAAGGTTGTCATTCCGTTTGTAACACTTCGAAATATACATTTTAGAACCTACAAAACCATGTTCTTGATCAGCATAAAATTCTATGTCGATTTAGTGATGCCCGTCCGTCTGTGGAAATCACTCTAGCTTCCGAACGAAATGAAGTAGATTGATACAATTTTTCTCAAATGAATATTATGTCTACAGAATTTTTGGTATTGAAAATGGACCATGTAGGTTCACGTCCCCCATACAAGGGTACCTCCCGATATTAGGTACTTTGATGATTTTTGCGACATTATTCACCGGAATTGTTTTAAATTTTGTATTTGTAGTTCGTGGTAGATACTACAGCCTAAGACAGAAAATTGTGTGTGCAGGTCCACATCTTCGTATAGCCCCCATATAACGGTAACTCCGATATTCGGTACTTTGTGGATTTTAGCGACATTATTCACCGGAATTGATTCAAATTTGGTATTTGATGTTCGTTATGGATGCTAAAACCTATGACAGGAGATTGTCTGTGCAGGTCCACGTCTACGTATGGCCCCATATAACGGTACCTCCCGATATTCGGAACAGCCTTTGACAGAAAAGTGTCTGTGCAGGTCCACGTGTTGGTATAGCCCCCATGGTACCTCCCTTTATTCTGTATTTTGATGATTTTAGCTACAATATTCACCGATTTTTTTCAAGTTGCCTATGCAGGTCCACATCGTCGTATAGGCCCAAATATAACGGCTCAATCCGTATTTTTTAAAATTTTTAACGTATTTTATTTTTTGTGAAAATTGCCAAATTCGTTGTAAATGGTGGAGGGTATTCAAAGTTCTTCCCGGTCGAACATACAGCTTTTTTACTTGTTTTCTTTTTAATATTATAACTCCCATTCTTTTTACTCCTCTGCCTCTCTCACACACTTTTTCAGGCCCTTTTTTAAATCCATGTAAAAATCAACTAAATTATTTTATTACTGGAGAAATTTACCCGTTTGGAGAACCTAAATAAAGCTATCAAAAATAATACCCATTCAGATGCTGCATCCATCCAATGGTTTCTCATATAGAGGAATGATACTTATTTAAGAACCTTTGTAGCCATCAGACTGAGAGCATAATTCTTCAAAGTTCGGCCCGGCCGAACATACAGCTTTTTTACTTGTTTTTTTTTTTTTTTTTTTTTAATATTACACTCCCCTTCTCTATATCTCTCTCACTCTCACACACATTTTTTCAAACCCCTTTAGGGTTTAGGGTGCAAAAATTTCCCCCCTTTTGGAATAAAGGTAAAAGTTTTGCAAAAATAATACCCTTTCAGATGGGTCATATGGCTGACCATATAGAGGAATAATAATTGTTTGAGTAAAGCTGTAATAAGCCGATCTTTGGAAAAAAGTGGGTAAAATTTGGGTCATATTCCAATGGATTTTTAAATTGGTTCTTAGTCGCTTCCTTGCGAAGGGTTACAAGGATGGCGCCTCATTCATACCTCTTTTTTAAAAAAAAATGCCCAAACGATGTTTTTAGAAAATCGTACTCTACTACTCTATACTCCCCTTTTGTCAATTCTTTTTCGTAGTGTCTTCTACGAATTATCTAGGCTTGAGGACATTCCAATTTTTATACCCTCCACCATTCTATGTAGGGTATATTAACTTTATCAATCCTTTTGTTACTCTTCGATATATTCATAATAGACCCTACAAAGTACATATATTCTGGATCAGCGTAAAATTCTAAGACGAGAAGAGCGGTGTTCGCCTGTCTGTCCGTCTGTCTGTCTATATTTCGAACGAATTGAGATTGAAGTCTAAATTTTGCATACATGCATATTTTACCAATGGGCAGGTTAAGTTCGTAAATGGGCTATTTCGCTCCACGTTTTTGCATAGCCCCCATAAAACGGTCCCTCCTGATATTCGGTATTTTCATGATTTTAGCGACATTATTTACCGGAATCATTTCAAATTTCATATTTGAAGTTCGTAATGGGCACTACAGCATATGACTAAAATTATTGAATGAAAGGTCCACATCTTCGAGTAGCCCCCATATAACGATACCTCACGATAGTCGGTATTTGCATGATTTTTGCGACATTATTCACAGGAATTGTAACAAATTTCGTAGGACAAAAAAATTCATAAGCAGATCCCGTCTTCGTATAGTTTCCATGCAACGGTTTTCATATAAGTGGTAGTTTTCGGAATTTTTTGAAAATTTTCAAGTTCCTTCCAAATGGTGGAGGGTATTAAAAGTTCGGCACGGCGAACTTAGCTGTTTTTTTTTTTACTTGTTTTCATTATTTGATTCTCACATTTCAATTTTGCACAAAAAATACTCTTCTCTCAAAAGGACATTTTCTTGCCGCCGGTATGGCCTCCCATCAAAGTGGAGGAAAGACAAGATATCCATTTTAGTTCGTATTTCTATTTTTTTTTCCGTTAAATGTGTATCTATGTTAATAATATGTGTTGGTGTGTGTGTGTAAATTTGAGTGGTCTGTGATGCACTCAAAAGAATAATTTTCAAGTCTACTTTTAGGAGGTACATGTGTAATGGCCAGGACACATGAGAAACAAGTTGCTGCAGTTGTTGCTGTTGTTAAAAGCACTTGGGCTAGCAGCAATTCCAAGTTTAATGATTTCTCTCTTAACAAAAAAAAAAAAAAAAAAAAAAAAAATTCTGACGACAAAGTATTTCAGCATAACTGTAATATAAACCAAAGCCATAAGGCAGGAGATGATGATGGAGCAAGGCAAAGAAGTGGCAGTGATTCAGGCATTAGTTGTTGAGGGTGGAAGAGGACTATAATACTAAGGTGTTGCTATCAAAAACTAAGGTTGTTGCATGATCCCATACCTGTCTGTGTGTCAGTTCGATGGGCCTCGTGTCCTTTGTAAGTGTTTGTTTGTCTGTTAGTCTGTCTCTCGGGTGAGTGCGGGTGAGTGTCTTGTAATCTGGAGAAAAGTTTGCTTGCAGTAAATATTATGACACTCATTCATAGCCGGCTACCTGCTTGCAAGCAAAAGGCAAAGCTGGTGATGTTGGTTCTTGTTCTTGTTGCTATTAATGCTGGTTGCAGCCGTTTAGTTGATGCCTTGTAAAGGTAAATGACGTCAATGATGCCATTGTTTTTGCCGGAGACAAAACAGCAGCTGTGTCATACGCTCCGGCAGCTTGAGCTGATGTTGTTGTCACTAAGTGTATATTGATGTTGTTCCAATGTATGCAACTTAGCATAAGGCGTTATGTTTTGTAGTTTTCTATATTTTGTTGTTTTTTTCTCTCTTACAAGTTGTAGTAGTTGTTTTTGTTGTTGTCTATCCTCTGCTGCTGCCGATGATGATGATATTTTGTTGTTTTTCATTAATAATGAATGAATTCTGCCGTTCAACGTTGCAAAGGTAGCGGCAATGAACTCTCAAAATGTTAGTTTCTAGTCTTTTGTTTTCGCCTGAAACGAACGTTTAGTGTTCAGCTCGGCAAAATAACAACAACAAAAACAACAGAGCGAGAGAAAAATACAAGGTATAGCCCTATAAAACTTTGAATTTTTCCTATGGCATTACATTATCAACACCAGAGATAATGGCGCATCCTTAGTCGTCGTGTGCTACCTTATGAATATGCCAAAGGAATATGTATGAGAGTCAATGATGAAGGCTATAGATAGCTTTCTGAGATGGAGTTGGATATGGGAATCCTTAGTCTGAGCTGATGCTCTTTGGAGTGCATAATAAGATTTCTATCATTCACCTTCACTTTGGAGCTACTGACATGCATAGCCACCGGAGGGCAGGGTTATGTTGTAGAGTTCGTTTCTTTCTGATGTAACTATCAACCCAAAAATCAAAAAAGAAAGAAAAAAACCATCATCATACTTACCCTATGAATTGTCTCCTCGAAACTATGTTGATGGCCACCATTTAGGGTTTGAAAGTGCCGTAAACGTTCGTTTGCCGCCTGCAATAAAAAAAGAAGAAGAACAAACACACACACATAGAAAATATTAGAAAGGAGCAAGGAAGAGTATGGGAAAAATATGATAATATCATTATTTGTTATGTTATATGCTCTGCTTGCTATAGCCAACTAATGGAATTTTGAGCAGAATTTGAATGCATTTCCAGTAAAGCAGGGCAACAGTATTATCTAACGACATCATCGAATGACCTCTGATGAAGGACAAAAATGTCTTCAAGACTTGTTTTATGCGTCGCTTGAAATCAGATAACAAAATATATATTTTTTTTTTGGTAGACATGCAAATATTCCCTCGAGTCTTAATTGAAAGTAGATGACCTTTTGGGATTTTTGTTAAGGGACATTCGTTGGATTTTTTTTTCAAATATAACATATACTAAAAATTAAAGAAGACAAATTAATTCTAAGAAAATAATCAAAATTACTTGATATGCATTGGAAAGTATGAGTTTCATAAATTTACAGTACATCATGGAGTAATATATCCAAGTAGTTTTAATGTATCATACGCCAGAAGGACATACTAAAACTTTATTTTAAAACCAGTAAAGAAAGTCCTAAAGTCGGGCAGGCCGACTTTATGATACCCTACACCACATAACAATTACAAGTTTTTATGGGAGAATTCAATCAAATACGCTATGATTATAATTATAAATTAAAGTTCAAAGGGCTATATGTGCCGAAGCATTTGTATCTTTTAAATTCGGACTTGTATTGCCCATTTGATGCATTATTAATTTGAATTCAGATAAAGATATTTATGGGAGCTATGTCCAAATCTGAACCGATCTCGATTAAATTTGGCAAGGATATTTCTGAGCTGTATTTGATATATTTCCCTGAATATCGTGGCTACGGAGTGCATATTACGGCTCTGGGTAACAAATACAACAAATCGGATGATCAATATATATGGGAGCTATAGCTATATCTGAACCGGCATACTTGGCATACTAGCTTCTAGACACAATTGGGTCGTATGTGCCAAATTCCATCCCATTTGGTCAAATATTACACGTTTGGTGCAAAATAAAAAGTAAATCGGACGAGTAAATTGGGAGCTATATCCAAATCTTAACCGATCTCGATAAAATTTAGCAAAGGTATTTCTGAGCTGCAATTGATATATTTCGATAAATATTGTTGTTACAGAGTGCATATTACGGCTGCGGAGGACAAAAGTAACAAATCGGATGAACAATATATATGGCCGCTATAGCTATATCTGAACCGATTTTGATCAAATTTGGCCTAATTTGGTTGAATATGCAAAATTCTATACTATTGGGGCTGATATTACACGTTTGGTTCACAATAAAGGCAAATCGGACGAAGATATATATGGGAGCTATATCTAAAATTTTCCCGATTATCTCCAATTTCAATAGGGTTCGTCCTTGGGCCAAACAAATGATTTGTGCAAAATTTCATGTGGATCGGACAATAAATGCGAACTGTGCTTTGTTTACAAAAATACATGGACAGACGGACAGACAGACGGACGGACTGACATGCATAAATCAACTCAGAAAGTGATTCTATGCAGACCATCAAAAGGAACTATGAGTCTATCTCGTTTCCCTTTGCCTGTTACAAACAAATGCACAAAGACATAATACCTTGTGGTGTAGGGTATAAAAAGTTATGATTTTTCTGTACCGTGCAAACGAATTCATTTTCTCCAAGACTACAGGCGAACCCAAGAAGATTGTGAAACAAATGAGCCCTTAGTCGAATCGTTAAATGGGTCTGGAAAATCTCCGTGGCGACTAATTTTACTCACTATTTTTCTCACAAAAAATTTGCTGAGTAAAAGTTTTCATTATTAAATAATAGTGGTAAGCTATTCTTATAAAATAAGTCATTGAAACATGTTGCTGAGACGCTGTCATCAACATTTGTTGATTAGCTGTTACTGCTCTGCTTTAAGTTATGTTTCAATGATGTTGAACGAACATCTGAATTTGTAAACATTGTTGCTAAGAGTTTTTTTTTTTCAAAAAGTTTTGCCAAGAAACTGTTCTAAATTATTTTGCCGAGAATGTCAGGAAAAGTCTCAACTACAATTGCTGAGAATCTGTTTTTGCTTTTATATCTACAATTAAATTAAAAAAATATCTTGGCAGAATGTGGATAGATTTTTTTCCTTAAGGATAACTACGAACTACTTTATTTTCTTTATAGAAAATAATTGCTGAAACGCCGAGGAGATGCGTGTCTTAATAAATGTTGCTGAGAATTTAGCTTATTGTCAATAACTTCAAAAACTATTTCTTAAGAAAAATGTTGCTGAGAAATTTCATCCCTTAAAACATTTTCTAAAAATATGTTGCTCTTAAAAATGTTGCTCTTCAAGAATAAAATATTTAGAACTCATTTTAGATTTCTTTTTTCACGCAGAAGCTAATTGTTTAAAATAAAACCTTGCTCAAATGTTGAGGAAGAGTTGCAAATTTTGGTTTTATTAGCTCAAGTAACTAAGGAAATTTGATCAGAGTAAAATGTTGCTGAGAATCAGTTATTAAAGTTGCTAGGAATATACATTGCTTTAATAAAAGTTGCTAACAACAATGTTTCTCTTAAGAAATGTTGCTAAGAAGAATAATTTAATTTAAGATAATTTTTTGAGAAACTGCTAAGAACTGCTATCTTATTCCTTCGAATTATATTCCAGAGAATATATTGGCCCTGAATATAGAAACATTTTCTAAGAAAATGTTTTTTAGAAATGTTGCTGAAAAAAAAAAATTGTTTGGAAGCTTTACCATTAAGAACATGTTGATGGGAATTATTATACCCTACACCTTGGAAAGGAGGGTATATTAATTTTGTCATTCCGTTTGTAACATGTCGGTCGGTCCACGATTTGGTATAGCCCCCATAAAACGGTACCTCCCGATATTCGGTATTTTGATGATTTTTGCCACATTTTTTCATGGGTTTCCCAAAAAATGGTATTTGTTGGTCATAATGTGTTCTAGCTCCGGTGGCGAAACATTGCATCTATAAGTCCACGTTTTGGTGTAGCCCCCATTTAACGGTACCTCCCGATATTCGGTATTTTGATGATTTTTGCCACATTTTCCCACGAATATGTCTAAAAATTGGTATTTGTGGGTCATAATTGGTTCTAATGTTCCCATTACCCTAAGTTGGAGGGTATTAAAAGTTCGGCCCGGCCGAACTTAATGTTTTTTTACTTGTTTTTTCCTCATGTTCTCCCTTCGCAAATGTTCCTTTCTGCAAAATATCTTAATTAAAATTGATATATCAGTTTGAGTGAGAGCCGCACCTCCGCAACATTTCGTCAGGAGATGTTCGTGAGAAGCTGATTTTTGCTGAAAAATTGTTTTGTTAAAATTAACTATTTTGGAAACAAAAATTAATAAAAAGTTGCGTTTTAGTACGAAATACTGCTCCTTAAGCTGAGTTTCTAAGGTTTTCATTTTAAACGTCTACAGTTCTTTCGCAACATTTCCTATGAAAACTGACTTTTTTACGAAATGTTGCGGAGGGATACATTTGCTCACAAGATACATTTGCCGATTTTGATACAATAATTTTATTATAAAACAGCTTTTTCATAAAATAAGTTGATGAGGTTTTCATTGAAAGGCTCTTCGTTGCAACCACCTCTTCAAAACCTTTCGTAATTAAAATCATTTTATACATATGTTTCCACTACAAAATGTTGTGGAGAGTGATCTTTTTTTTAGAAATTGTTGCTAAGGAAATGTTGCCGCAAAATAGTGGGAATTCAGGAGATGTTCTTAATGAACTGCCAAAACATTTATAAGAATCTGATTTTCCATAAAATTAAAAAAAATTTGGCTTTCGCAATATTCTTAAAAATGTTTTGTACATTTTTAATGAAATTCAATATTTTATGGCATATTTTCCCTGGTTAGGATAAAATATTCCAACATATGAAATGAATGTTAAAATTTTAAATATGAGAAATTAAATCTACGTTTCCTAAAATTCTCCACTCAGTTAAAACATATTTATTTGTTCAAGGAACAAAGTAGCCAGAATTTTTTAAATAAATTTTTTAATGGACTTCTTCAACTATATTTTACAAAAATTACACGAAAAAGGCTCGAACCTGGATTTTAAAACATTTCTTTTCTAGGAACATCCAAACATTTTTTCAAGGACCATCCAAATATTTTATAATTTTTTCAAAAACAATAGAAACATTTTTAATGAAATTCAATATTTTATGGCATATTTTCCCAGGTTAGGAAAAAATCTTCCAGCATATGAAATAAATGTTCAAATTTCAAATAGGAGAAATTAAATCTACGTTTCCTGAAATTCTCCACTCAGTTCAAGCTTCAATTTCCATTTCATACCAAATATTAAGGTAAGAATTCATTGCACACCTCATGGATTTCCCCAAGCCAAAAAATACTCCTAATTGCATTTTAGAATTCCCAAAAAAAAAACTCTTACATACACCAAAAAAAAAAAGTTACAACCTTAAGTGCTCTTCACATTCTGATGCCGCCATACCTTTTTGCGAACAATATTCGATCTAATTAAATTTTAAACTAAAGTAGGAGAAATTTCGCCTCATTGAGAAAGCCATAATGAAACCTCTTTGGAAGATGAACGAAACAAAAAAGAAGAAAAATTCTTTGCCACAATCTGAATATAAATTGCACTTCTTAAATAAACTTTTGTTACAGCAAAAGAATGACGAAAAAATGCAATGCATTTTCGTGCAACTCCAGCCAGCCAACAAAGCAACGAACAAACCTTGCAGCCAAGCCAAGCAACCAACCAACCAACCCACCAGCCAAGTCAGTCAGCCACTTCATGTCATCATGATTATCATCAACGTAATTAGATTGAAACAATTTGTAACCAAGTTTTACCCTAAAGTCTGCAGGGTAATGCAAAATCCAGCCAAGCAAGGAACAAATTGCCAACAGCTTTACCTCTGACTGACATTCAACAATGAATGATGAGGG